CTTAGTGACGCTCAGGCAGAGGATGACGTCGTACTCCGGCTTCTGAGCTTCCAGCAGCTCATCCCGATCCAGGACGTAGTTGCCCTGCCAAGGAAGCCAGACGGTCGGTCTGCTGCTGGACTCGAGGGAGGGGGGGTGCTTGGCTCATGTTGGCCCCTCGGGGGAGAGGCTGTGCCCCATGGGCTACGCACTGCCCCCCCCCAACGCTTCAGCGTCTCTGGGCGAGGCAGGGAAAAGCTGCCAACCCAGAGACAGGCGCCACCAGTGTGCTGAGGGGATGCTGCTCGCCGGGTGAGGCTACCAAAGTCTCCCCCCCCCCCAGAGCCCCCTCTGTGGGTTTTCCAGTCTTAGTTCTGAGCGGGGTTCTGCCTCTTTAGGACAGCGGTCTCCCAAATTGCTGACTTCAACTCCCAGAATTCCCCAGCTTTTTTCCCACTTTGCTGAAGTCAAGATATATTACGTTTACTGCATTCCCACCGTCTATATTAAGAAAGCCACCTAATCAAAAAACGTGATAAGTGTAGTCTAGCCACAGGTGTTCTTGTCCTACCCGTGGTGGGTTCTGGGAAAAGCCTTGCTCGCTAAGGGATTCTGGGAGTTGAAGTCCCCAAGTCTGAAAAGCTGCCGAGTTGGGAGAGCCTGGCTCTAGGAGGAACTGATGTGCGACGGCCCCCAGTGCCTGCTGGACGGGGAAGAGGAAGCTGTGGCCGCCAAGGCGTCTTGTGTGCCAACTGCCCTCCGCCCTGGATTGGGCACCTTCGGCCACTGCTAGCCGCAAAGCGTTCTCTGTGGGGCTGCCCTTGAAGACTGCTCAGGAGCTACAGCCTGGGCAGTAACGGGCATCCTGCATGCGCCCACCGGACAGTTCTGCTTTGTGAGCTGCACTAGCTATCCAGAGGCTTTGGGGTCCACTTGAAGGGCTGGTTATTATCTGTGGGGATTTTTTGGGAGGGGACCTTGATGTTCAAAGTCTCTCTCTGTATCTGTCTGTCTGTCTGTCTATCTGTCTATCATCTATCTATCATCTATCTATCTGTCTGTCTATCTATCTATCATCTATCAATCTGTCTGTCTATCTCTCCATCTGTATCCATCATCTATCCATCTCTCCATCCATCCATCCCTTTATTCATCTATCCATCTGTATCTATCCATCTGTCCGTCCGTCAATCTATCATCCATTTATCATCCATCCACCTACCTACCTACTATCCCTTTCTCCATTCATCTATCCATCTATATCCATCATCTATCCATCTCTCCATCTCTCCATCCATCCTTCCATCCATCCCTTTCTCCATTCATCTATCCATCTATATCCATCATCTATATCCATCATCTCTCCATCCATCCATCCATCCATCCATCCCTTTCTCCATTCATCTATCCATCTGTCCACCTATCATCCATCTATCATCCATCCATCTATCCCTTTATTCATCTATCCATCTGTATCTATCCATCTATCTCTCCTATCTATCTCTCCATCCATCCATCTAGTGCAGTGATGGCGAACCTTTTAGAGTCTGAGTGCCCAAACTGCAACCCAAAACCCACTTATGTATCATCGGGTGACGGGTGGGTGTGGCCATTGGGTGGGTGTGGCCAGTTGGATGGGTGTGGCCCATTGGGTGGGCGTAGCTGCGGTGGTAATGGCAGACTGGGTGGGACTAAAAAGTTCAATCAATCAATTCCAACTTTGCGAGATCTTTTTTTTCTCCGCAAGAAGTTGAAATTGATTGATTGATTGATTGGACTTTTTTTTTTTTTTGCACATGGCGGCGGAGGCCTAAAGTGAAAAGGTTTTATAAAACCCAGCTGAAGGCCTAGGACTGGGGTGACGGCGCCCGTGCCCACAGAGAGGGCTCTGAGTGCCACCTGTGGCACGCGTGCCATAGGTTCGCCACCACGGATCTAGTGGATTCTCTCCACCCTGCAAGGCCTGACAGGGTCAGCGTGCCTTGGGCCCCCAGTTACAGGTGGTCCTCAACTTATGCCCACAATTGAGCCCAAAATTGACATTGCTAAGCGAGACGGTTGTTAAGTGAGCTGTGCCCCGTTCTACAACTTTCCTGGCCACGTGGCTTAGGTGAACCGCTGCAGTCGTTAAGCTAGTAACCTGGCTGTTAAGTGAATCTGCCTCCTCCATTGACTTTGCTTGTCGGAAGGTCGCAAAAGGGGAACGGCGTGACCCCGGGACACTGCAACGGTCACAAACGTGAGTCAAACCGCCAAGCGTCCGAATGCAAATCCCCTGACCAGGGGGATGCTGCAACAGCCCCCCAAAGTCCTGCTGGAGCCATTGCCTAGCTTGGTCAGAGAACAAGCCCCTGCCCAAACCCACCACTTGCAGGACCCCCTCCCTGGGAAGGCGGTCTCTGGATATCTCCGAGACCGCCTTCTGCCGCAGGTTACCTCCCATCGGCCGGTACGCTCCCACAGAGTGGGTCTCCTCAGGGTGCCGTCAGCCAGACAGTGCCGGCTGGCGACCCCCAGGGGGAGGGCCTTCTCTGTGGGAGCCCCCACCCTCTGGAACGAACTACCCCCAGAGATCAGGGTGATCCCGGATCTCCCCTCCTTCCGCCGCGCCCTCAAGACATGGCTATTTAAGCTAGCAGGACTGGCCTAAGGGGTAATTTTTAGTTGGGTTTTAAAATAATTTTTAAAATAACAAAGGCCAAATTAATATTTCCTTTTAATTATGTTTTTAATGGTAGTATTTTTGTATTTGTTTTTATTAGGCTGTTAGCCGCCCTGAGTCCGCAAGGAGAAGGNGGGGGGGGGCTAGTCCGGCCGCGTCCACACACAACCCCCCCCCCGAGAAGCAGCCGTGGCACGTGGAGAAAGGAAGGGGGGCAGCCGGGGACGCCCTCCCAGTCCGGCGAGGCTCCTCAGTGGGCTCCGGAGTGGCCCTTGTGGAAGAGATAGACGGGGCGCTGGAATCCTGCAGGGGAGGGGGGAGAGTGAAAAGAGGGCTGTTAGGGGGGGCTGGGCTGGCAGGTGGGGCAGCCCCCCCCCCACGCGTGCGTCCTGGTTAATGCCCAACAGGCAGATGGAGGAAGATGTCAGCTGTCCCCCCCGTCCCTCTTTCCCCCCCCCATGCTGCAGTGTCCCCACAGGAGCCTGTCGGGGGGGGGGCAGGATGCATTTCCTCTTTGAAAAGTTTCAGGGTGCAGCCAGCCTGGAGAACTTCCCCATGATTGCCATTGTCAGCAGATTCAAGGGAGGGGGGGGTCAGCCCCAGATTAGAGTGCCTAAACCACTGGGGGGGCTCCATCGTTGCTTCTATTAAAAGATTCTGGTCATCTGGGGGGGGAGGGGGAAGAGAAAGGGTCCCCCAGAAGCCCCTCCCAAGCCCGCCGCTGGCGCCAGTGAGGGCTTGGGAGAGCCCGGGGTGGGGGGGGGTCTCCTTGAAATCCAGGGGGGGCTTCTGAGGCTCCCTGGCTGGGCCGCTGAGATTAGCAAGGGGGGGGGAAGGAACGGCCTCCCCAGCCATATTGGGCCCCCCTCCTCCCTCTCTTGGCAACTGCCCCCAGGTAATTGGGCCAAGATAGATAATAATAAAGTTGGAAGGGACCTTGGAGGTCACCTAGTCCAACCCCCCCTGCTCAGGCAGGAAACCTGACCCTGGCTCCAAATGCTTGTGAGCTTCCACCACGGAGCGCACCCTCGGCCTCGGCTCCCCGGGGCCAACCCAGCACCTTCCCTGCCCCCCCCCCCAATGCCACTGCCTCTGGCCGATCCAGGGAAGACTCTTCCCCCCCCCCCAGGCAGAGCACGTCTGCTGGGCCTTCGGGAGCCCCCAGCTGCCAATCCCGGAGGGTCCTGCCCGGCCCGTGAAGGACTCTGGCGTTTGCGGGAGGACCCCCCACCCACCCATCCTCCAAGCACCCGCCCGGCCCAACTGCCTTGCTTGGGGCTGCCTTGGCACATCCCCCTGCCCTCCCCCCCCTGCCCGCCTGCGCCCAGTCGGTCACCTTTCGACGTGTTCCTGGGCATGGCCACCAGTTCGTAGCTGGAGAAGCCCACTTCGTCGGAGGTCAGGTAGGAGGGGAACTGGTCAGGCTTCAGCTTGATCCAGTGGTAGTGCCTGGATATCGTTTCCTGGGGGGGGGGAGGGAGAGAGGGGGGAGGGTTTGCACCAGCGAGGAGGGGGGCCCCCTGCCCACCTCTGCGGATGCTTGCCCCACCCAGGCCGCCATTGCTGCGCCCTGGGACGTGTGAGTGCGCGGCGAGGGGGGGTCGCTGCTCCCTCGCAGCAGGAAGACCCTCCCTGCCGCGCCAGCCCCTCGCTCACCGTCAGGTTCTTCCTCTTCTTGTAGGAGGACCAGGCCTGGGGCTCCAGGACCAGGACCCCGCCGGGCCGAAGGTGGCGGTAGATGCGTTTGAAGAGGCGCTTCAGCCCCTCGTCGCCCCAGTTGAGCTGCACCCACTTAGTGACGCTCAGGCAGAGGATGACGTCGTACTCCGGCTTCTGAGCTTCCAGCAGCTCATCCCGATCCAGGACGTAGTTGCCCTGCCAAGGAAGCCAGACGGTCGGTCTGCTGCTGGACTCGAGGGAGGGGGGGTGCTTGGCTCATGTTGGCCCCTCGGGGGAGAGGCTGTGCCCCATGGGCTACGCACTGCCCCCC